ATTTGCCAAAACTCACTACTGTTTGCAGATCACTCCAGTACACGGTAAAATTCCACACAGCATGTCTTTTAGGGCTTCAGATGTAAACTCCACTATCTCACTAATCACAGAAATCTGGAGATGAGCAGGAGCCCTGGTGGTGCAGTGGTTAAGCATTTGGCTGCTAACCAAAAGGTTGGCAGTTCAAATCCACTAGCTGCTCCCTGGAAACCCTGTGGGGCAGTTCTATTCTGTCCTATAGGGTCACTATGAGTTGGAATTGACTCGACGGCAACGGATTTAGTTTTTGGAGACGAGCGGCTCTTTCTAGTCTCCCTGCTAGTGGTCTCCCTCGGCGTCACCTCTGGCCGCCTTTGGTGGGAGTAAGGCAGCGTTCCCGGGTGGATGAGTGCGGAGGGTGAATAAGACCAGGTCCCCAGGTGGAGGGCGGGGGGCGCTGAGCCCCGGGCAGGCTTCTATGTGACTCTGGGCAAGTTACTCAACCTTTGAGACTCTCACAACCCCCCTGTTAGAAATGGGGAGAACTGGTTCTACACTGCAGTCACTGCGAGGATTAAATGTAAAAGCATGTGGGTGGTGCTTGGTGTGCTGCTGGGAAGGCAGTACCAAACCAAAAAACCAAACCAGCTGCGGTGGAGTCGATTCCGGCTCATGGTGACCCCATGTATTGCCAAGAAGAACTGTGTTCTGTAAGGTTATCAAGGCTGTGACCTTTTGGAAGCCGATTGCCAGGCCTTTCTTCTGAGCGGGAGCTGCCAACCTTTCGGTGAGTTGGAGCACTTAACCGTTTGTGCCACTCAGGGATTCCTTGGGAACACAGTGTTGCTGTTGTTGGTAGGTGTGTCAAGTCGATTCCGACTCACAGCGACTCAATGTGACAGAACAGAACTGCCCCATAGGGTTTCCTAGGCTTTAATTTTTTATAGGAGCTGATCGCCAGGTTTTGACTCCCCTCTCCTCAACCCCTGCAGAGCAGCTGATGGGTTCAAACAGCTGACCTTCCACTTAGCAGCCAAGTGCTTAACCACTGCGTCACAAGGGCCCCTTTGGGAACATAGTAAATGTGCCTAAATGGTGGCCATCACGACCATGGGGCTCCTGCAAGGCACCAGGGCTTCCTTCCCAGGCCTCCAGCATCTGCCTCCTCACTCTCCCCACAGCCTTCGCGGAGGCCTTATGAGAGTCACATGGGACCATGGAGGGAGAGCTGACAGCACAGGGCCTGGCTTCTACCACAGACTCTAACACAAGACATGAAGCTGCTCTGAGTGCCGTTAAGTCCCAGTTCACCCTGGCTGGCTTCTTGCTCACAACGTCCTCAGCAACATTTAGTCCTTTTTGTGTTTCTCTAGGCTGAGTCCCATTAAGACCTGTGAGTGGTTTTAAATGCTAACGTGCATATGTGGATTTATGTTTGCACACAGCTGATGAAGCACTTAGATATTTTTATGATAACCTTGAGGATGGAAGATTAAACCTACTTGGTGTTGGATGTGTCAGGGCTTAATTTTTGGTTCTCTTTGTAAAGAATATTTTGTTACATGCAAGAGCTACCCAACCACTGAACGCCACCCTCACCTTCTGACTTTTCCTGGATCCTGTAATGTCTTCTAATAACTGAAGTCCTATCATTAGAACATCATATCCGGTACAGTAGAGGGTCAGTGAAAATTAGGGAAACTTACAATGAGATGGATTGACACTTCAGCCACAACCATGGACTCAAACACACCAACGATCATGCAGATGACACAGGGCCGGACAACGTTTTGTTCTGTTATACATTAAGGTCACCATGAGTCGGAGCCGACTTGACAGCAACTAACAACAACACATCATCATCATTAGTTGAGCACATATTATGTCTCACTGTTATCAGCCTACCAGGCTGGACACTTCCTGTATGTTATCTAATCTGAATTAAGGTGAGACAGCACTGTTACTACCCACTTCCCACTTAAGGAAATGGAAGCTTGTAAATGACAACTAGCTTACCTAAAGTTGCAGCTAGAAAGTGGCCGCAGAGTTGGGCTTTGAGTCCAGAGCTGCTGTCTCTCCAGGCCACTAGGCTACACAACGCATCTCTAGTGTGATACCATTTCTTCTGCTGGATATCCGATTCAAGGATGGACCTTCTGAATTACCAACTCCCTTCAGCATTTACTTGTTCCAAATTACAGCTATACCAAATGCAGTATTTATTTTTCATGAATCCTGTACTTATTTTTTCCCCATATGGCAAAAAACAAGACATCTCTGCAAAACTTAGGGAATTCCAGCATCTAATCTAACATGCTCCAGTGATTAGAAAAACCCTATATCCTAAAGTCCACTCTACAGATCTTAATCCCAATTTTTATTTGCCAATTTCTTGAATGGGATCAGTCTGCAGTACTTTGTGCTAATTAAAACATGACAGAATTAAGCAATTTGCAAAATTAGCAGTGCTGACCCTCTGGCCTCCGAGGCTCAGGCGAAGTCCACTGAGGCACACCTAGTGGGTTGTCTTGGCAAGATTTCATGCTGATCAGACAGTCCATCCACCTCGTGTCTTGAGAGAGCCATGCTTACCCAGCAGAACGCAAACATCTCTGAACTTTGCTTACCAGATAAAAGGCAGCACTAGCTTCCCACTGCATTTCCTCCTGCAGGATCAATCACACATCCCAGGCCCCTGCATGTAATTAATCTCGGAAAGGCGGAGCTCCTTGCTAGGGACTGCTGATCTGAGTGCAGCCCTCTGGGGGGAGGCGGGGGGAGGACAAAGGCTGGGAGCAGAATAATAAGCACCGATGTTTCCAGAAGGCTGCGCCATGTGCCGCAGGAAGCTTTTTTTAGTGGTTGATTCACTGTCAGAAAATTCGCTTTTGCTGTGAATGCTACTTAGCAGTATCAGGGAGCAAGTTTCTTATTTCTTCTTTTCTACCACGTGAATCAGGTGCCTTGGTTGTGTGTTTTATTGTTGGTGTTTCTGCTGTTCTTTAGCCAAACCAAAGGTGGCTCCATCCTAAATCTCTTTGGTGCTCCTAGCGATGTGCTCTGCACTCAAGCTCCGTCAGAGGACTAGAATGTTTGGGTTTCCCTGCTCACAGGATTTAACCGTGACAATTTCATACAACCAAAAGAGACCTGCTTTCGACTGCGCTTTCAGAAGCTCAGCCTTTTCTAATTCTTCGTTGAATTTAAAAATGCTTGAAGGTTGCTGCATTTTCTTTCTTTATTTTTCCCCCCCTTAATTGTGGTTTGTTGGGGTGGGGAGGGAAGGGGGTGAGAACAGGGAGTGAAAATCCCACCTCCATTCATCAGAGATGGTGAAGTCGTGAGAAGCTTCCAGAAGGGCTGTCAGCTCCTTGACTTTGTTACTATTTTAGGAACCAAACAAAATGCAGTAAAACCTTGCTTCAAAGAACCCCAATGCACGGAAGCCTCTATTTTCACAAAATCCATCTACGGGCTGATTTACACTAGGAGGGCTCCTTGGAAAAGCAGGTTTCCTTGCTACCCTGAATATCAGACGTGAGACACATTTCGTTTCAGAGAATGTCTACGGCGTAAAGAGAGGCGATTCCGTGTTTATCTCTGAAAAGGGATTTCTGCCGAAAACGCATCCTCCCCCCCACCCCCCAAAGCCTCTGAAGACATATTAACGACAGGGGGATTAAGACATATTGACAATAGGAGGATTATTTCCTAACCTGGGGTATGACAAAAGCCCATTAATAAATGGACAAAACAGCCCGTCTCCATTTTCTCTCCAACACAAAAGCCCTGATGGGGCTGGGACGCCCACGGGATACTGACCACCGCGTCCTGCTGCCTGCCCCGGGCCTTGGGGGGATTTTCTGGGCCAGCCTGAGACTCCCCAGGCAGACCAGAGGCAGCCGGGGACGGGGAGGTGCGGACCCGTGAGCTCTTCTCCCTTCCTCCTGGCACGATGCCTCTCTTGCCTGGGCTTCTGGCATTTCCTCAGCCAGAGGTCGAACTGCTTTCCTGTCAGACCAAATGTACATCGGGGGAACTCGACCATGCAGTCTTTCTCATGAAAGAGGACAAGGCGTTGTTTGAAAAACCTGACCAGCACTGAGACCTCAAAGGCCTGGCTGAGCATGCCTGGTGTCAGCATCAACACAGTTTTTCTTTTTAAAAGCCCTGCTCCCTCCCATAATTACTGGCCTTGAAGCCCTGTGGAATTTCCAGGGCCAGCTTCTTAAGGCCTCTGTCTGGTCTCTGTGACTGGTTTACATTCTCCTCTTTCTAGTATTCCTCCCAGGAAATGCTCTTTTTTAAAAAATGCAGCAACTTATGTCATCTTGGGGGAAAAAAATTCTTTCCTGGAAGACGGTTTAACAGAGTAGCAAAGGGAAGCTCTGCTTCTGAAGAGAATGAATATCTCTAGAACAATACAAAGCAGCCAGGAGAAGGTAACAACGCAGGGCTCCGAGCATGAATGAGTCACCGCCTCTTTATACCCTGCCGCCGCTCTGGGGAGACGCTGGCGCACACACACTCATACATGGGCTCCGTGCCTGCAATGACTAGCTTCAGTCTCCCTTTCACGGTTTGTTGGGGGAGCGCCTGGCCATTACTTCGAGAAACCACTAGCAAAGTCAAGAGCTAAACCACAAGTCCTAATCTTTCTGTGTTTACCAGCCAGCTTCTTGGAGACTGGGAGCGGTCGCATCCGGAGGGTCCTCTCTCCAAACTCCAGACCTGGGCACGTACACTGACATGACTCTTCTAGAATGTTATTACTGGAGCAGCTCAAGGATCTGCCATTGTTAGCTGCTAAAGGAGACACAGGTCAGCTGGGGCTAGTGGGTTCCTCTGGACACCTGGCCCTATACACCACACATTGTAAGTGCTGCCAAGTCTCGGGAGGTACAGTGGCGGCAGGGAGCAGCTTTCCTGCAAATGGAGGTGTGCCCGTGCCTGGGGTGGCGGGCTACTCAGAGGCATGAATGGGAGGAACAGGAAGACAGGACGGACCAAGGCAGGGGGTAGCATTCGGGGGTCCATGTGGTTCCCTTGGCAACACTATGTATTTAAAAACTCTGTAATTAACTATTGATGTAATGGAATGAGGGGTGCTTAGGACAAATATCCCTGAGACTGCTCAAAGTAATACATGTTTGTAATCCTAGGTATTTTAATGTAAGCACTTAAAGACAGTATTCTGAGGAAGGGTCCACAATACAGAAAAGATTAAGGCCCTCCTCCCCATGAGGATGTGGACGCTGTGGAGAGAAGCAGAGATCAGCATGGATATAAACACCCAAGAAGGATGCTCCATCTGACTCGCTGCCTTCCACAGCCTTATAATGTTGCCCACATGCCCACTTCATTCTGCCTCAGCTGTCTTATCACTAAATGGGCATAAAAGCACCTGTGAGTTTCAAAATCTGACATCATATGCCTCGCCCAAGGTCACAAAATGCTGGGCTGGGGCTCTGTTTGGTTTGCTCATGGCTAACAGTTGCCCAGCCTACTCAGAGCCCTATCACACAGCAAAGAAAAAAACCTACTGACCTTTTGGCCCTGCTGAGCCTCTTCATCGTTCTTGTCCTGGGCACAAAACAGGAAGTCCAGCCTCAATCTTCACCCTGCAAGACATTTCCGGAGATTGGTCACCCTCACCGTCACCCTGACTTCACTGCAAGTCCTTCAGACTCAGCAACAGCAACCCTAGGTCCCAGCTGAATGTCATGCGAGACATTCTGGCCCAAAGAAGGCACACCTCATCACGGACCTGTTCTCTCAACTCTGGGCTGGAAACCTGCAGGTGGGGGCAGGTGGTCACAGGGAGGGTGGGATGGGAGGTGGGGAATTCTGCCAGCCTGGGCACCCACTGCTGGATTCTCCCCTGCACTTGTGTATTCTTTGACAAAGTGACAGGCCACAGCTAACATTATCACAGCACCCGTAAGTGCCTCTTAGCTCTTGTTTGACACAATGCTTCTAGTGACATGCTTTTATGGGTCTTTTAAACATAGGTGGTGAGAGAAGACGAGGAGTTTCCTGTTTTAGGGCTGGGGTGCTCTCAGACTGTTTGTGTTCATGACACCATCTCTCTCCTCCACCCCCATCCCACATCCCTAGAAAGAAAACAAAGGGGCGGGCGGATGATTCAATACTCTTTAGACAAAGGACGGAGCCTACAACCTAGTTGATGTTATTCCTTTGTCCCCTCACCCCCAGAGGCTCGGGCAACAGCTGCAGACCTGGGAAGGAGGTGGGGCCAAGAGAACAGAGGACTTCCAAAAGTAGCCACAGAGAAAAGTGGACTGAGAAGACCCTCTGCAAAGCTTGCCATCTCAGCTGAGGATACACCTGATCTTGGCTCCCCTTGTCCTCAGGAGGCAATAAAATGGGACATGAGGAGATGGGGAATAGGTCATGGTTTTGCCTACATTTTGCAGATGGTAGAAACAGGCCACGGGGCTTAAAGAAAACACTGCTGGGGACAGCTTATTAACCATTATGAAAATCACAGGTTGGCAGGGACCATACATATTTTGTAAAAGTCTTTAACTTTCCTTTGAAGCAAACATTGTTTCATAGCTAATGCCTTTTATTTTCTTTACTCCTATCATAGGTTCAGATCAGCAAAGTAAAGAGGTGTTGCAGAGCACGAGGCAGCTTCCTTACAGCATTTAATTCAGATGGGCAGGCAGGGATGCTCAGGTGAACGCCTACACCCGTGAGGGCTTGGAGAGAAGATGCATCATAGTAACACCCAGAGCTCCAGCAGACATTCCCACACACCATTATCTTTCTCAGTTGGAATCTGGGTCAAACGTTAATTGGACCATGGGCGGCTTATGGAAGTATGTGAGGTTATGACCCTGCTTCTTCAAGGAGAGGTCCTGGAGTCAGAAGGCGAGGCTTATCATCAATTACCCCGGTGTGATCCCAGCACCACAGAAATAAGCCCAAATATAGAAGTAGGAAGTTCCTACAGCTCTCAGTCTTGGGAAGCCCTGGAGGAGCAGGGTACAGTTGGAACATTCATTCTAAATAATGCCTCTGGGAGCAGAGTCCATCAAAGCAAAGGACAACATGTTGGTGGAACCCAGTATGTTTTCAGAAGTACTTTTCTCCTATATCAAAAGTCAGAAAGAAAGGAAAGAAAGAAAAACAAAGGATCAAAGTAGAGGCATCCAGCTGATTCACAGCCAAGACTGGCTACAAGTGTTCAAGCACTTATAGAAAAAGGAAAAGAAAAATAATGGAGAAAGGAAATATTATATAATTAACGTTGGTAGGAAACCTGGCAAGCGATACTGATAAAAAGATTTTGAATCCCATTAAAGAAACTTGTCCCTGGTGGTTAAATGCTTGCTTGAAATCAGAGAGTCCACCTCCACGGCAGCATCTTTGTCCAGCCTACAGAGCTGAGCCACCACAAAAGGTTTTCAAGGAGGCTGGTAGTTAAACTTCTGGTAAGGCTTGTACTTCTCAGGGTGTTAATAAAGGGAGTGTCCTCTGGGCCTGCTCTATGGACAGGATGAGGGCGTGAGGGCGCAGGGCGCAAATGATAAATCCACTCCAGCATCCCTACCTCCCTAAGTCTTTGATTCCTTCTACATTATGCCAAGAAGTTCTAGAATCTTAACCTCATTGTATGTAGAACCATTGAGTCAAACTCTGAGTCACCGTCTTAGTCATCTAGTGCGGCTATAACAGAAATGCCACAAGTGGATGGCTTTAGCAAAGAGAAATTTATTGTCTCACAGTCTAGTAGGCTACAAGTCCAAATTCAGAGCGTCAGCTCCAGGGGAAGGCTTTCTCTCTCTGCCAGCTCCCAAGGAAGGTCTTCCTCATCAATCTTCCCCTGGACTAGGAGCTTCTCTGCACAGGACCCCCAGGTCCAAAGGTCTCGCTCTGCTCCCAGTGCTGCTTTCTTGGTGGTATGCGGTCCCCCTGTCTCTCTGCTCGCTTCTCTGTTTTATATCTCAAAACAGATTGTTCAAGACACAATCCAATCTTGTACACTGAGCCCTGCCTAACCGACGTAACTGCCACCTATCCCCCGTCATTAACATCACAGAAGTAGGATTTACAACACAAAAGGAAAATCACATTAGATAACAAAATGGTGGACAATCACACAATACTGGGAATCATGACCTAGCCAAGCTGACAGATATTTTTGGGGGACACAAGTCAATCCATGACAGTCACTGATCAAGCAAACTCTTAGAACCACTTCTAGCTACTCAAGCTAATGTATTAAATTCAGAATCTATTCCATCCTCCTTAATAATGTAACAGTCTGAATCCATTCCCATACACATTCCTCAGGATTTTGCTTATTTAAATTAACTAAACATTGCAATCCTTTTGGAGTATGAATCACCTCCTCTTGGATCAGACCTTGCACTTGCCTACCTGGAGCAGGCTGAGATGTGACTCTGGTTATCGGTCTTGAGGTGACAAAAGCTAGTGGGAGAGGGTCTACGAGGGATAGGCATCCGCTTTGAGGGCAGCTGTCCTGGGAGAGTTCTTAAGGGAGGCTCATCTCCTCAGACATGGAAGGCTCAGAGAGACTTGGGCATTCAATATTTTCAGATTCATCCTAGTACTCCTAGATGTCCCCATTCCAGTTCTCGGGATCCCACCTTTTTCCAATCATTGTCTTAGCTATCATGAAAGAGACTTGGAGAGTCTGTGAATTCAACCTGTGCACTGTTCTGCAACCCATACAATGAATTTTTGGTCTGATCTCCAGTTAGTTCAGCCTTATGGCTATAAAAAATGAGGTAAGAGGTGCTCCCTGATTGTCCAACTGTGACTTAAGCTTGGAAGTTAGACTCAGTTCACCTTCCTTTCTATAAATCTTCCAGTGAGTCAGAAGTACCCACTCCACCCTACACTCTTTCTAAGCATATTACTAACGTACGCAGTAGCCACTTGGTCCTGCAGGCACGTCACCATGACCAGCTACACGCGATAATTTAAGTAACCATAATGCCACTGCATAACCTGGATTACTAGTGTCACTAATTTCCTACTGGCAAGGAGCTAAGCACTGTATTCAACACCAAGGACAACCAAACTAATCCCAGAGTCCCATCTTTGGGGGTTTGTTTACTGGGACAACTTGTAGTATCAAGAACAAATATTAGGTATTTTAACAGAAAGAATTTAATATAAGGAATTAAATTAGGTGGGCTGAGAAAGTTAAAAATGACATATCGAGATAACCCAGAATACGTGAATAACTGCAGGAAGCAGCTTCCACTTCTAGGGCTGGGGGAACAAAGGGAAGGCGTTGGGTTTCCAGAACCTGGAAGCTCAGAAGAGGGGCCCTGGATAGCTGGGGCTTAGAAATCTGGGGACAGAGTACCACATGGCTGGTAATGGTAGCTTTTTCAGGCCACGATAAGGCTGGTACTAGAAGTACCTAAAGGCAGTTGGAAGCTGGAACCTACTGCTACTGGGGCAAAGTATGGTTGCTGGGTTCATCCTCACAACAGAAATAAGACCCTTCTCTCCTCCAGTCTTACTCTAGCTCTGCTCTATCAGTAGAACCTAGCAGGAAGCCAGCTACTAAAGAATAAATTTGGTTTGCTGCCAGGGTGTAGTCATGTGTTAGGTCCCACCATCAGAGTGTTGTGTAGGACTTTGATTCAGAATTGAGTTATGGGGCTGGCATGGCTCTGGAACTGCTGACTACAGCAGTGGCTTCCTGGTCATGGTGGAGGCACCTCCATGGGCAGGCCAACTGCTCCTTGAGGCTCAGTCTACGGTCTGCTAACTCCTTCAGCCACCAAGAGTGCATTCTCTGCTCCTCAACTAAGAATGCCGATCAATACAGTAATCACCCCCATTTCACGGTCGGGGACCTTCTGATCCTACAAGGCCAATTGCCTAAGATGATACCTGAGTGTGTCTGCTCCAAAGTCTGTGTGCTCTTCACCAGCACCCCACTCTGCCTAGAGAGTCAGCAAACGACTAAAACATATAAGAACATAAAGGTCTACAAATTTGTGAAAATCACCATCAGGGCTTCATGTGCGATGGGGTAAAAGACACAAACAGGTGATTCACGACAGACAGTAAGACTTACAAAAATGGGGGGGAAAAGCGCAACCTTACTAGTAAGTAAACAAAAACCCTAGTGGGTATCATTTTGTACCTACCTGACTGGGGGGAAGAAAAATCTAAGGCCGATATGATTTTAAGGGAAACAATACCTTCCTTCATTGTGGAAACAATGAATTGGGGTAATCCAATTGAAGAAAACGTGTTGCTATATCATGTAGAAACATAAAAATGTTCACACACCATTTGACCCAATAATCAAACCCTTAGGAGTGTTTCCCAAGGAAACAAAGACGAAAAAAGCTACACATACCAAATCGCTGTACTAGCAAAATACTTGTAAGGGACCCGATGCTGTAACAGCTTCCTTTTGGCGGGGTGGGTGGGAAGAGTGATGGAAGCAACAAACGCCAGAAGAAACTTGCTAGCAGTCATTTCTAAGTTGCCTTCTGATTTTGAAAAAGTTAAAGGGTGAAACAAAGAATTCCTGCCTCTTAGGTTTGAGGAAATGCAACCTGTGTATTTGTACAGGTAAAGATCTATTGAATCAATTTGT